CACACATACATACATACATACATATACATACATACATACATACATACATACATACATACATACATACATACATACATACATACATACATACATACATACGCATATACATACATACATACATACATACATACATACATACATACACACATACATACATACATACATACATACATACATACATATATACTTACATACATACATACATACATACATACACACATACATACATATATACATACATACATATATACATACATACGTACATACTTACATACATACATACATACATGCAAACATATGCATACTTACATACATACATACATACATACATACATACATACATACATACATACATACATACGTACATACATACATACATACATACATACATACATACTTACATACTTACATACATACATACATACATGCATACATACATATATACATTCGTCATTTATGCAAACAAATATCGATAGGTACATATATACATACAGCTCAAGGTTCTCGATTTATTTTTCAATTTTCTCCACCCAAGTTCGGTAAATTTTGACCGTCTCGACCATTTTTTGTATGTTCCGTCTTTGTAGATCATTTTTTAGTTTGTTCCGAATATTCGACCAAAGTTTTATTATTGTCGACTTTCTCGACCACGTCTCGACCCACTTCTCGACCCACTTCTTCGACCCACTTCACATAAGTTTAGACTTTCTCGATTACATTTCGATGTTTCGACTTTCTCAACTATCTGGACCGACGTTTTGAAATTGTTTATTTATTCGGCCCGAAAATTTCAAGTATTAGATTTCAGTATTTTTTATTTTTCAGTATCAATCATTTAGCTGAGATAGTGAGACAGCTTCTATTGCGCTTGATAAGTTTTTGCTGCTTTTGTAAATGTTCCCTGGTATAGTTCATTTTTTAAAACGGTGCCAGAACTTTCGAAATAATCTGCTCAACCTATATTTCGACTGTGCTCGAATAATGTTTCGATTGTGCTCGACCTATGTTTTGACTGTGCTCGACCTATTTTTCGACTGTGCCCGACTTATGTTTCGACTGTTCTTGGGGTATGTTTCGGCTTTCTTGACCAAAAATGGGTATGTTTTGACTGTGCTCGCAATATGTTTCGACTTCTCGACTATCTGATTTGAAAAAATGTATATATAATGTATGCTTTTCAATCGATTTTTTGTGATAATGCTTGATTTGATAATAAAGTTAAGGAGCCTGTTAAATTCTTCCATTTAAAACTATTTTATTTTTCATGCTAAAATTTCTCAATTATGTTTTGATTTTATTTACAAATCGGGATTGAAACTGTTGATGTGAAAAATGAAATTGAAGAACTATCTGGAGAATTTCTGTTTCTGGCCGCAGGAATTCCTAATTATACAAAACTTACAGGGTTCCCTCTGAAATTTTAGTTTTTTGGTAAAAAAATCTCCTTCATTGATTGTTGCGGTTTGCATTTTTCTGATGAAAGTCTTGTGTGAGCACATTTTTGTTGCTCATTTTTCGATTTAAAATTGACTGAATTCTTGAAAAAAAAAACGTAGGTTGTGCTCGATCTATGCTTCTTTCGAACGTGCTCGACCTGTCCTTCGACTTTCTTGACCAAAATCAGTTATGTTTCGACTGTGATATACCTTTGTTTTTGCTTTCTCGGTCTATGTTCCAATTTTCTCGAACAAAATTGGCCATGTTTCAACTCTCTGGACCAAAATTGGGTGTACTCGGCTTAAAATTGCTTCTCGACCTCGGAATATTGATCGCAAAATTGCATTTGCTCGACTTTTAAAATCGAAACGTAAGTCGAGCACCGGGATTCATAATTACATTCATACATACATGCATACATACATACATACATACATACATACATACTTACATACATACATACATACATACATACATACATACATACATACATACATACATACATACATACATACATACATACATACATACATACATACATACATACATACATACATACATACATACATACATACATACATACATACATACATACATACATACATACATACATACATACATACATACATACATACATACATACATACATACATACATACATACATCCATACATACATACATACATACATACATACATACATACATACATTTATTCAGTTCTATGAAATGGCTGTCTGGAGTTCTTGCAAGCTTTCTGTCGGCTGGCGGAGACTATTTAAAGCTAGTATAGAAGAAGCTCGTTCTCTATGGGTCTTTGTTTTTGGCCTTTTAATGCCACTTTGGAATTTTTTTTGTGTACATGAACTTCCAGCGTCAGTTCTTTTCTCTCGGTTGAATTGTGTACGTTGATTCCATCTGTAGAGACAACTAAGTGCAAGGTTACAACATGTTTTCGTAAATTCAGTAGAAATATCGTTTTCAAATTGAAACCACAAACATCTATTTTGGGTAAATTTGTACCTAAAGCGTCCATGCGTATTGAAAACAAATTTTTTAACCAAAAATCCATTTTGATCAACTTTTATATAAAAAATCTAGGTATGGGTGACCAATTTTTTGAAAAGATAAACTGTCAGTTTTCAGCTGAATTTAGAAGATGTTATTATATGTTTGATCGATTTCGCAAATTTGGGGACCAAATTCTACTGTTGGATGTCCGTTTTTCTTATCAAAACTCGTTTCCTTCTTCTTTGTTTTTATACAGAACATGTTTCGTAGAATCCTCAAATGAGGCCAAATTATCTCAATTCAATTTCTCTAGAAACGTTTAAGGCCAGCAGAAACACTCCGTTATTAAAAAAAACTCACAAGACTGCTTGTATCAAGGCGAAACCCTACCTGTTTAGACTGCGTTTTAAAGGCTGGCGCATAAATAACTTGAAAAAAAATTAAACATAGAAATATAATGAAAATTTTATTTTAGAAATGAGATTTTTTGTGAAAATCATCCCGCCGCACGCCACATAAAGTACAAAATGATAGATTAGACCAATCAATCATGGTAAAAATTAGCTTCCTTCAACCAATTTGGAACAATTTCTCAGGTAGTTTAATTCTCCGCTTGCGCGGCTGTAGTTCGAAATACATCGCGCGACAATTGTCCCAAATTGGACAAAATGGCAACTTTTATACCCCATAGTTTTCCAAAAATGATCACAGGTGAAATATCTTTCAAAATTTATGCTCAAGACAAAAATAAAAAAAAATTTCCGTTAAAATGGGAAGTTCAAACGTCGAATATTGTCTGAAGAAAATAAAACAACACGAGAGGAAATATTCCGTTACTTTCGTTACGAAAGTCAAAATACGAATTTTTTCAAGAAATTTCCTCTTTAAAGTCTTTTCTAGGTGTGACAGTATTGTGAATTGTGTTTGACTTGCCTCAATTTAACCTTTATTTCTTAAATTGATACATGCCTTTTTTGAATTAATTACTTCTTTGGTGTTGTATTTTTATCCTGGTTAGTCTTTTAGTACCTGCAGTATCAACAATCTTTATCATGGTGGAATCAACTGACTCAAACCTACAGGAAGCTCCCGCGTTTTGGTCAATTTTTTACTGTAGAACCTCCTACCCAACGGAACAACTGGATTGAACAATTTCATTTAGCAATTATAGCACCAAAAACCTCGACATTGACTGTTGGAAAGAACCATTGATGGCTGAAACCAAAATTATTGCAATATTGCAACAATCCCTAAATTCCGAAAATGAACAAATTAGGAGAGCACAAAAGACCACAAATGGCGATTTGATGCAGACGTTTGAGTTCAAGGAAGAGAAGAGAACTGCAGAGGAGGCAGGAAAAATTGGAGGCCTTAGCAGTTTCGCGACGAGCAAAAAAACAAGGTCCATACAAACTTTGGCTTGGGTGCTAGAGCCAAACGAATACAAAACCCTTTCCAGTTGCAATTATTGTCATAATTTTTGAAGTTTCAAGGAATTTTTCGAACTCTTCGAAACCGCATTTCTAAAACCATCAAATATCACCTTCGAGCTTTAGAAAAAGCAAAGTCGCAAATAAAAATATAATTTTTGAGGAGCGCTTTTGATTTGGTCAAACTCTTGCAACATAGAAGAATACTCCCAACAAAACTTGATATGTAGAAGAATGATAGAAGAATACTCCCATCAAAATTTGTTGCAATATTAAAAAATATTCCCAACTAGACTGAATACGTGATATCTTTACCTTTAATTTGAAAAAATGGGATTTTCAACGAAGACTCTTTTCAGAAATAATAAGCCCGACGGACGCTTCAAATCAAGCGAGAAACTAAAACACGGATAAATTAACAGTTCTAGACCTAAAAATATGGTTACTAAAGTTCAAACTTTGTAAATTGAGAACGTAGAAAAGTCAAATGTTTGAACGAATTGAGGTAAAACCTTAGGCAACGATCACCTAAAAAAACGTCCCGAAAAATGGCGTAATGTTGGTAATTGCAAAAGAAATATTGGTAGATCGTATAAGATAAAACCAAAGAAACCGGCAGTAAATAGGTTAAAAAGGAACCACTGACAAAGAAAAAAATTTGCTGAGAAAAAAGGCACAGTCAAAAGAGGGAATAAGTGACGATGAAGACTATTCAGCTAAAATATCCGAACAAGGTACATCCGAAATGGCCTACAAACAAAACAATTATCAAGTGTGGGACCAGGAGACAAAGCAATTGTAACTAAGAATATACAAGTTGATTCAGCAAGTCCAGTCAGCTTTTCAAAAGAAAATGGCGTTCACGGATTGAAACTCAGGAAATTAATAATAACAAGACTTCCAGTAGACAAAAATACCCAAAGTT